GGGAGCAGGGCAGTGCCGGCAGCCCAGCAGCCACAGCACTGGGACCAGGCAGGAGCCGGCAGACAGCACATGGCTGTGCTGCTCACACAGGTGGTGGTAGACGCAGAGATGATGCAGGGCAGCCAAAAATGGGCAGCTGAGGAACACTGGTACAGGGCACAGGACACGCAGCTGGGGAGGGCGGCTGAGCAAAGCAGTGCTGAGGGGGGTGGGGTGGGCGAAGAGGGGGGCATCTAGGGCCACAGGGCTGGGATGTTTGAGGGCTAGAGCCTGCAGCCAGCACCCTGGGGTTCCACGCTCTTGGTGGCTCCAGTGGGGAGCCCAGGACCAGCCAGAGCTGGAGCCCATGGCTTGCCCCGATGGCAGAGAGCAGCAGCAAGGAGGCATCTGGCACCCATAATGTGCACACACAGCTGGAGGATGAGACAGGAAAACACGCCAGGAGGCAGCAGGCAGTGCCTCCCCATCAGTTACTGCACATCCACATGCTACAGCAGCACTCCATCCATCCTGGTGCAACAGTGGGGAAATGGCAAGACCCTCTGAGCACCGCAGGCTCCCTGTGCTTTTGGGGCATCACTAGTTGCAGAGTTACAGGGCAGATAGTGTTTCCGTGTGCAGTTCTGGGAAGGTGGAGACTCAGCTCCCTGAGCCTGGGGGGAAGCAGCCAGGGAGGCATAGGAGCCATGAGAGCAAGTGTCCCAAAAACACGCTGCAGGGCTGAGCTCTGCTCCACTTCCCACAGAAGCCCTGGGACAGGGTGGGGGGAGGCAATGCCAGCCTGCCCCCACTGTCTCAAGCAGCCCAGGCACCAGCACAGCAGCTGCCAGTCCCGAGCATCCTGCAGCGCACAGAGGAGCAGCCATGCCTGTGCTCGGGGAAGGGCGTGCAGCACGAGGCCAACGGCAAGGTGGGAGGTGGAGCTGCAAGCACTGCAGAAACAAGCAGCCAGCAGCAAGGCTGAGCAGGCACAGAGCAGGTAGGCAGGCCCTGAGGCTGGCTGTCCCTGGCACAGCCAGAGCCTGACCAGGGTGCTGCCTGCACACACTCTATCAAGGGAGGGCAGCCTGGGGCTGCCACAGCTCAGACTGTGCCCTTGCCCCTAGGGAGCTGGCAGCACTGCTCCAGGCAGAGCTGAGCCAGTGGCAGTGGAAACAGCAGGTGACCCTCGAGCAGGCGCTGCAACACATGCACGCTGCGGCCCATGCTGAAGAGAAGCTGCAGAGAAGCCAGGAACAGCTCCAAGCCCTGAGGAAGCAGGTAGGTAGCGGGCAAGACCTGCTGTGGGGTCCCTCTGTCAGCCTGGCCCAAGTCTCCCCTGCCCCAAGGATGACCCAGGGCCTGCCCAGTGCCAGAAGCAGGCTGCCACACTATGGGAGCTGCAAGGGGAGCTGTGCTGTCAACAGGACGGGAAGGAAAAGCTCTAGCAAGAGCTGCAACAGGCAAAGGAGTGGATGAGCACCATCAAGAGAGATAATAAAGCCCTGCAGCAAAGCCTGTGCTGCAGGAGTGGGCAGTGAGCTGGGATCAGCAGCAGGAGAGAGGGCAGACCTCGCTCTGACAGGAAGCGGCACTAGCACAGCAATGCAGCACCCACTAATGCATTGCCTTCTCTGCAGCTGGGGGCACAGGAGGAGCAGAGCCAGGGCCTGTGGCACAGCCTGGCTCAGTTGCAGGAGGAGCTGGGAGCCACCCAGGCCCGGGAGCAGCAAAGTCTGCAGCAGCTTAGCGGAGCCAAGGAGACCATCCAAGACCTGCAGCAAGAAGTGGCCTCCAACAGAAAGCACCTGGCAGAGCTGCTGCAACAGGTGAGGGCAGGGACAGGACAGGCCCAAGATGCAACCAGCCACCATGCAGCCCTCAGTGCCAGAGCAGCAAAGTGCTGCAGAGAGCCCTTTCCTGCTTCTGGGCAGCACTAGCCCCTGGGGGGAGCCCCAGCCTGCCCACGGCTTGGCCCACCACCCTCCCTGCCCCACCATTTTGCATGCAGGTGCAGGACATGGCCACCCTGCAGGCAGAGCTGGCCCAAGCTCAGCAAGAGAAAGCCAGGCAGAAGGAGAAGATTGCAGTCTACGAGGAACAGAGGCAGCAGCTCCACTGGGAGCTGAGGAAGCTGCAGGTGTCCCAGGAGCAGAGCAAGCAGGAGGTAAGCATGTCCCAAGCCTTCCCACAGGGCACCGGGAGTCTGTGCTCAGCCTGTCTTTCTCTCACTGCCTCTCAGTGCCACCAGCAGGCCCACTCCTTCCAGGAGAGGCTGCAGGAGCTGAGCAGCCGAGCCCAACACTGGCAGCAGCTACAAGAGGACAGCGAGCGAGCTCTGGCTATGCGAGAAGAGGAGCTGGTTCTTTGCAAGGTGGAGCTGGCTTTCCTCAAGGAAGAGCTCAGCAAGGCCATGGAGCAGGTGCAGGATAGAAACAGGCAGCACCACAGCCCAAGGGCAGGAGCACAGGCTGGACCCCTAGCACTGGAGAATGACAGATCCTGGCCCACAGGCAGGGCAGAGGTGGAAGGGACAGGACAGGGGACAGCATACTGCAGATATGCCAGGCCACCAAGGGAGGAGGCTGTGGGTCTGGCAGCAGCAGCAGGGCTGAACATCTTGTTCTCCTTAAACTAGCCCTCTTTGCTCCACTGCTAGAAAGAAGTCCCTCAGCATGAAACTACCATGTTGTGACAGAAAGTTCACAGCCAGTAGTGCTGAGGTAACGGTTCTTCTCCGGAGCAGCTCTCCTGAGACACTAGCATCTCCAGACCCTCTGCTCAGCCCCAAAGGCTGCGGCCCCAGTACAGCCTGGTTTCTCCAACTGCCTTCAGCCCTGGGCACATAGCGGCTGGGAAGAGCAGTCACATGCTGGTTCACACACTGCACCGGGGGTCATTCTTTCCAGGTAGAAACCCTGCGCTCTTCACACGCCCTGGCATGCTCTGACAGCAGCAGGCCACACAAGGAGAGGGAGCTGGTGCTGGTCAACATCAGCCAGTGTGTGAAGGAGCAGATGTGAGTGAGAAGCCTTACTGGAGTAGAGAGGGGCAGGTGGCTGCCTTCTCCTCACACCAACTCACGCCTTGCTTTCAGGCAGTCAAGTGAGAAACTAGGGCACAAGATCCAGCGGCAAATCAAGCAGACCACAGAGCCGACAGGCGAAAAGGAGTAAGTGGTGAACATGAGGAGTAGGGCTAGTGTGTGAAGGAGCAGATGTGAGTGAGAAGCCTTACTGGAGTAGAGAGGGGCAGGTGGCTGCCTTCTCCTCACACCAACTCACGCCTTGCTTTCAGGCAGTCAAGTGAGAAACTAGGGCACAAGATCCAGCGGCAATTCAAGCAGACCACAGAGCCGACAGGCGAAAAGGAGTAAGTGGTGAACATGAGGAGTGGGGCTGAGGTCTCTGCACACCACTGATGGCAGGGATGTATGGGACAGATGGACAACTGCTGGACTACCAAGCTCCTGCAAGGCCAACAGATCAGGATTGTCTCTGCACCACTCCATCACCTCATGTCCCCTGCCTTTCCTCCAGGCATCTTCAAGACACAGTGGGCAAGATGCAGGAGGAAAACACGTACCTCACGGTCAGAACACATGAGCAGCACCACAAGTGTGAGCAGCTGAAGGTGAGCAGAATCCCTGGCACAGCCTGGCCTGAAACAGGGCTGGGCCTATGGTCTTGTGTGTACAGGGACAGCTGGGCACTGGCTGCCTGCCCAGGGCATGGGTTGTGGGAGAACTGCCTTTGCAGTAGTATGGGCCAGGGCTGGGACAGGGACAGGTTGTCTTTGCCCTCTAGGTCAGTGTAATTCTATGCCTTGTCCCAGGCTCTACAGGGCAACAGCTTGACAGTACCAGCCCTGCACGATTCTGCAGGGCTGCCTCCACCCAGCACTCGCCTCCAGGACAAGAAGCAGCGCAAAACAAAGCAAGGATTAGACTGACAACCTTTGAACAAATAAAATTCTTTCTGTTCTGTAGCAAAATTAGTGCCAAGCACCAAAGCCTTCCTGGGCCACAAGCTGTAGAGAGCCTCACAGAGTACAGTGATCAGAAGAGCTGGGCACTCTCCTAAGACTCAGCTGCTCCTGGAAGTCTTTAAGCCTCAAAGCAACGGGCACTGCCGCCTTAGAGGCCAAAGCGGGCTGGGGTGCGTCGTGGCGTCAGGGGCTCCCCCTGCTCCTTCCGCCCAGGGGTGTAGATTTTAGTGGATCTGCCAGGAGAGGACAAGGGTGATTAGTGGAAGATGCAACCTTTCCCTGCACTTTCCACCCATGGGGCAGTTGGGATCCTCCACGCAGCTCACTACTCCTGCTCTTAAGCAGGCAACCCGTGGCCAGGTAGGGCCAGCACCTACCTTGCACTGCCCAGTGGGTTACGGCGCTCCTGTTCTTCCCGGCGGGCACGCAGCTGTTCCTCAGCCAAAGCCATCTCTTCCTCCATGGCAGACACTTCTTCCTTGGCACGGCGGCGGTTCTCCTGGAGCAAGGCAGCAGCAGGTCAGGGACAGGCAGAGGGCTGGCCAGCAGCAGTCTCTCTGCAGGCCCATAGGCCTGCTCCCTCCATGTCAAAACACACACACTGCACTAGAACAGGCATGCAGTGGGCCTGCTGTCTGCCAGCTTGTCTTGGACACGAGACTCACCTGGCGTGACTTGCCAGCATGTTTGATACTGTAGAACATGGGGCCCAGCTCTGCCAGCCACTCTCCATCCACAGCAGTGACACACTGCATGTATTCCTGCAGGGACAGAAGGAAAGACGAGGGAAGCAGGATGGCACTCTCAGGGCCTGGGCACCATTTCCAGAGCCATGGAAGCTCCCTCTCTCCCCCACTTGCTGATGGCACTTCTCAGGCTGGGACTGTACCCCTTCCAGACAATTCCTCCTGGTCTCAGAAGCTGCTATGGGCTGGACTTGGTGAGACCGCAAAGAGGTTCAAATGTGTCCCACATAGGCCAGGAAAAAAACATTGGGAAAGGGACAAACAGGACACTGCAGATGACACAGACATGCCTAGTTGGCATAGATGAGAAAGGCTGAGAACTGCCCTTCCGATAGATCCTAGTATCACAGCAAAGCCCTCCCATCTCCCTCAGAGCACTCCTCACCCTTCTTCCAAGCCCTCAGCTCAAGCTCACCTTGGTGGTCATGACCAACTCATGATACACAATGTAGTCTGGTGTGTAGCCCATGCCAAACAGAGAGCTCGTGGGGTGCAGGTGGCAGGGCATGCCTGTGCGGATGTTCACATACTCCCCAATGCCCTGCAAAGAGAAGTGTAGTTAGCCCACCTGTTCCCAGACAGGGCCTCTCAGCCCCCAGACTAGCACAGACAACTCTCACCTTCAGCTTTGCAGCTTGATGGAAATACGCAGCACAGATGCACTTCCTGACAACGTCCCAGTCAGTACCACAGGATGCTAGGCTCATTCGCTGCTGCACCATAATGTCCTTGAGCTGGGCACGCACCTCCCGCACCTGCAAAGGGGTGTGGCAGTCAGATCCCTCTACTGTGTAAGGCTCCCTCCCCCAACCTCGTTGCCCAACCGTAACCCTCACCTTCCGCATGGCCTTGGCATGGATGAAGTGCTGGTTGCACCACAGTGTAGAATAGCTATTGTTCTTCCACTGCAGGTAAACATTCAGGTAAGTCAAGTGATCACTCTCTGGAACAGCAAATTTCTCCCGCACTTGGTCACTCTCCTCCTCTCGGCCCTGAAGGGTGAGCAAAGAACACAGGTTAGTCAAAGGGCAGGGGAAGGCCCCAAACTGCTGAAAGAGCAAACAGGTACCTTAGGCCGATAAAAGATGGCAGGCACAGACAACATGGAGACAATGAGCAAGATCTCAGAGCTGCAACCCATGTCGCAGGAGACAATGAGCATTTTGGAGAGTGCAGGATCCAGTGGGAACTCCACCATGAGACGTCCTGTTGAGGTCAGACCACCTGTAGGAACAGCATAGGGATCAGCAGCTGGGCAGGTCCCAGTCCCATGGGCTGACAGTTTGCCCCAGCAGCCAATACCTGTATTATCCAGGGCACCCAGAATCCAGAGCTGGTACATGGAGTTCAGCATGTTGTCCTCAGGGGGCGGATCCATGAAGTGGAACTGCAGCAGGTCCTGCACACCCAGGGACTTGAGCAAAAGCACTACATTGGCAAGGTTGGTGCGCTGGATCTCGGGCACCGTGGTTGTCAGCAGCTCATTCTTGTAGGCACTCTGGGTGTAGAGCCTGGGGAACAGATGCCCAGAGCATGCTCCTCCTGTTCAGGCCACTGTGTTCCTTACTGAGTCACCAGCCGTTGCCCAACCCAGCCAGGCATGGCACAGGGCAGCAGCTCTGCACTCAGCCAGGCTAGCCAGCAGGACCCCAGGGAGGAACCTCTACCCTGGCCAAAGTGTGGCCTCCCCAGCACATAAGGGTGCCTGGGCTGCAGTACAGTGTACACCCCTCTCAAGCACAGTCCTTCCCTGGGCACAGATCAGTCTCAAAGCAAAGCCTTGAGAAAGCTGCCTTTGGCCTGGCTGCTTTCCTGACAGCATCAAGGGTGGAACAGCCACAAGTGAAGATGGACAAGGGAAGAAACTGGAGCATATCCTTTCCTCTGCAGAGGCACTGGGTCCAAAAAAGAAGGCCTCAAGGCCTGCCTACTGCCTTCATCCCCCCAGAAGTTCAAGATAATGAACAGCTCCAGTGAGAAAAAAACCCATATATAACCTCATGCCAAGCTGCAGATAAGACAGGAACAGGGACATCAGTGACATGCCTACCTGAAGCAGTGGCCTGGGCCTGTTCGGCCAGCTCGGCCTGCCCTCTGATTGGCATTGGCTTGACTGATGGGGTAAATCTGCAGCGCATCCATGCCTATACGGGGGTTGAAAACCTGCAGGGCACAAGAACAGACTGAAGTAAGAGGAAGGCTGGGTCACTACCACAAGACTCCCTCAACCCAACCCCAGAGATCACAGACATAAACAGTACAGGAAATCTTGGCTTACCTTCAACTTGCAGTAGCCAGAGTCAATCACAAACATGATGCCATCCACTGTCAGTGAGGTCTCTGCAATGTTAGTGGCAACAATGCACTTCCTGACCCCATCCGGAGCCTGCAAGCATACCGCACATCAGTCAAATCCCTGGGCAAGGGCCTCTGCACCACTGAGGAAGAGTGCAGAGCAGCAATACAGAACCCAGAAGGACAGGGGTGACTCTTGGGAAGTTAAGGGGGGGGCACATGCTTTCTCTCGCTCTCCACATCCAATACAAAAGGCATGTCTGCACCTCTCACTCATACTCAGTAGTCTTCTCTGCACTAGTTTCCCCTGTCCCCACTCCTATCACAGAGCACACATCAGCACCTTCTGGAAGATCTTGGCCTGCAAGTCCGACGGTAGCTGAGAATAGATAGGCAGTACAGCAAGAGCAGGCGCCTTCTCCAGCTCCTCAAGGTGCTCCACAATTTGCTCTGAGGTCACCTAGACACAAAGAGGGGTGTAAACATAAGATTAAAACAACAAGGTGGTAGGACAGCACCTGCCCTTCCAGCTCACCTCTATGTCCTCCTGGCCAGGCATGAAGACGAGGATGTCACCAGGAGCACCAGACAAATGGACCTGCAGGGCTTGTTTCACTGCAGCCTCCACATAATCCTCTTGTGGGGTCTGAAAAGCACAGCCCAGGTTATAGATGCCAATAATCTCACCTGCCCCGTCCTGTGTGCAAGACTGCATCATAACATGGCTACTCCTCCTCTATCCTTTCTGTCCACCACAGAGTACAGTATACCCAAGTCATAACCCCCTCCTGTTACAACAGAACTTCCCTCTGCAATGTTGACCATACCTTGCTGAAAAGAATATCAACAGGGAAAGTGCGCCCAGGAATGTGGAAAATAGGAACGTTCCCAAAGAAGGAGGCAAACTTATCTGCATCCATGGTGGCCGAGGTGACAACAAGCTTCAGATCTGAGCGTCGGGCCACCACCTAGAAAGCAGATGAAAGGAACAGTAAGGAAGGGGCATTTGTGCATGGCTGCAGGCTGCTTCCATTATTACTGAGACAATAGCACAGGACAGAGCTTCTGCTGTACTCTAGAGGCACTGGCCACCAATGCCAGGGAACACAGATGCTGTATGATCTGTGCAGTTAAAAAGACCCGCCAACCTTGGTCCAGGAAGCCTTAAGCCAGCAAAGATCTCTGTACCTAGAGTTTCTGACAGTTAGCCAGCAAGCCTCTGGCAGCACTTAGGCACTAGGGAGATTTAACCCCCCAGAACCAGGGACCAGGGTGTTGAAGCAGCAAGTGCAGACAGAGATGTGGCAGCTCTGCTTCCTTCTCCCAGGCCTGGTAGAGAAGGGCTGTCCCTGCCAATACTCTGCTTTAAGACCAGCTCATGTGCCCTATGCTGCCGTCCTCTAGTCCAGGCTCACACACACCTCCCGAAGCAGGCCAAAGAGCACGTCAGTATTGAGTGAGCGCTCATGTGCCTCATCCATGATGATAGCACTGTAGTTGTCCAGGTCAGCCTCTCGCAGTGACTCACGAAGAAGGATCCCATCTGTCATGTATTTGATCACTGTGTTCTCAGATGTGCAGTCCTCAAAGCGGATGGCATAGCCCACCTGGGAGGGCAGAGACACCAGCAAGTCTTCCAACAGCCCCATGCACTCACTGTCATCAGGCTGCACCCCTGCACCCACTGCCAGACTCACCTCCTCTCCCAGACGCACCCCCATCTCTTCACTGACCCGCTTGGCAACTGACATGGCTGCCACTCTGCGGGGCTGGGTGCAGCCAATCATGCCGTAGTCTGTGTAGCCATCCTCATGGAGGTACTGTGTCAGCTGAGTCGTCTTCCCACTCCCCGTCTCCCCCACCACAATCACAATGCTGTTGTCTCTGAAGAAAGGGAAAAAGTATTTCTTCATATACCACAAAGAAGGGCTTTTGCATTCACAGCCCTGGCTGGCCACCCAAGCATCATCCTACTCGGGCAGCAGAGCTGCCACCAACCACACAAAGCAATGGGCTTTGTTTCCTGAGGGTACAGCTTCCAAATGGACCATGTATCTAGGAGAATTTCTCCCTCGGGTTCCTGAGATGTAGGCCAATGCCCTGGGGATGCTCTGTGACCAGCTCAGCCATACCTGAGGATGGAGAGCAGCTCCTGCTGCACAGCGAAGATGGGCAGATATTGTCTCTGCTCCAGGATTGACTTCTTCTTGGCAAACTCACTGCTGGCTTCACTTTTTTCTTTCATGTGTTCGGCAAACTTCTGCTCAGTCCTAAGGAAACACCAGAAATCCTGAAACTGCCTCTCCACACACTTTGCTATGCCTACAGCCCCCATCACCGGCTGAGCAGGAGTAATTCAAAGCAAGCTCCTACCTGTAATCCACTTTGCCATCTTCTGTCACCATCTCATCCTTCTCCTCCTCTTTCTTGATCCCCATAATGTCTCCCAGTTTTGTGCCTGCCAGCTCCCAGTGCTTATGCTGAGCCTGGAAGGACAGAGAGCAGCATAACTTTGTCACAGCAAGCACTGACAAATCATTCTTCTCCAATCCTACTCATACGACTAGGAAAGCATATTAGCCCCACAATTCCCCAATGCTACAAGGCAGAACCCACACCCCATTCCTACATCAAGTCCCCCTCTTCCAAGTGAACTGGAGCAGAGCTTTTAGACACTGGTCTGGATACAGAGACTTCAGGCACAGGATGACCAACAACCTCCTAAGAAAATGGTTCCAGCTGCTGACCCTTCCATTAAATTTGAACTTAAACCTACACAAATCTGAACTAGAGATAACCTTCCGGCTCTTGACAGGTGCTTACAGGCCTGTCTCCCACCTTCCTGTTTGTTCTCACCTCTGATATCAGTTTAGCTTCTACCTCCATTTCACTCGTAGTATACGTAGCTCAAATCCAGCTCAGTTTCAATTTACAAAGAACACATCTGTGCTTTCCCTACAGCTATCGCATAAGCTTTAGAGAAAGTCCCTAGAAGACCCCCCCAAAAACTAATATGCCACCTTACTGCATACTCCTCCTCGCAACTCTTCTGCTGAGACATGACAAGATATATCCTGCCGCCATACTGACTGCTGACTGTCCCTAAGCTACCTGGCATTCTTCCACCTGCTCTCTTCTCCCATGATCCAAATGTCCTTTGGATCAGACTCCTCTGCACAAGCGCACAGTGATTCATGTCCCAAGCAGTGCCCGAGGAAATCACATCACAGCAGCTGCTTATGAGACAATGCAATGAGCTGGGCTGCCAGGATATCCCAGGTCATAAAAATATGAACTCCTTATCATCATCGCCACCAAAGCCTGTATTCTGCAAAGTCCAAACAAAGGCTGTGAGGCACTACATAACGTGTACAGCAGGGTAGTAAGCCAAAAGGTCACAGCATACCCTCTTACGCTCCTTTTGCTCCCTGTGCTTGCGCACCAATTGGCTGCCTTTCCGGGCTATGATGGCCAAATCTGAGGTGGCATCCTTGACAGGGATGACTGGCTCTGGCTAGAGGAAAGAGGTATTGCTTTAGTACAGAGAGCTCACACTTGCGGGGCTCCCTGCCATCAGTGCCTTCAGCCACAATCTCTACCTGCTTGGTGAAAACAATCCTTCCATCTAGGAAAGGGGGCACTAGGTTATGCACCAACAGATGCACTTTAGCAGAGTTATCCTCCTCAAAATCTTCATCCACTTCAATCCGATGAACCACACCACTGGTCAGCATGCGATTCGTCTCCCAGCGCTCATTATCCTGCAGGAAACAACATGTCAGAAAATACACAGAAGCCCCGCAGAAAGCACTGAGCTCAGGTCTGGGCCCCACACTGACAATAGGATGAAACTGATGGTTCCAGCCTAGGGAGCCTGAAAGTAAGCACTAGGGAAGCAACAGCAACTGGAAGCAGCAGGGTACAGGAAACACAGACTGGCCATATGAAGCACATGGTCAACAGGACCGTCTCCAAGGAAATGGAGGACAGACACTGTCCACAAGGCCCTGCCATACTCAGAATATGTCAGGAAGCCTGGACATAATCCCACTCATGTGCTAAGGGCAGCAGCCCCCAGGGTACACTGGGCCAACAACAGACAACCCTAGTAATGTAACTCACACCCCAGAATAGCAGGAGCATAGCCCTCTGCATTCCTGCTGCCCTGGACACTGCGATCCATGGTAGTCACTCTGATTGCGAATTCTGCTCCACGCAGGAGATGCAGGGCTGCACTTTCCAGGGGAACTTAACAAGTTTCCCTGTGAGCCAGGACACAGACTGTCCTTCTCCACCCGAGAGCAAGGGCTCAGCCTTCGCTGCCAGCAAGCGGGTCTCTCCAGGGGCAGCAAAACAAGCAGTTGCCCACACGCTCAGAGCAGCCAACCCAGCATCTCGCCCCTACCTCATTGATCTGCCGCCGCTGTGCCGAGATGCGCTTCTGCCTCTGCTTGTGCAAGTGCTGCTCCCGCTTCTTCACGTACTCCTCAGAGGAGTAGGCCAAGGGGTTGTGAAATTCATCATAGCCTTCATCCATCATGTACCAGTCCCGGTCAGCTTGCTGGGAGGGGAGAGGTGCGGCCCTGAGCTCCGCCACCCCCC